TGTGGAATAAGTTTGAGTTCAGAAATGAGAAAGGCAAGGACTCAGGATGGTGACCTGTAACTAGTGAAGTGCCACAGGGATCAGTGCTGGGGCCACAATGATTTACAATATATATTAACGGCTTGGAGGAGGGAAGAGAATGCCAAGTTGTGAATGACAAAAATAAATGGAAAGACAAGTGGTGAGGATGACACAAAGAGTCTGCAGAGGGATAGAGAGAGGTTTAAAGGAGCTGAATATTATTTAAATGGAGAGAGAGAAGCGTCCTTGCGCATGAATCACAGCCAGCATCCAAATAAAGCAGGTAATAGGGAAAGTAAATGGAACATTGGACTTTATTTCAACAGGAGTAGAATATAAAAGTAGGAAAGTCTTGTTAAAACTGTACAAGGTACTAGTCAGACCACAGCTGGAAAATTGTGAACAGTTTATCTATGGATAGGCTGATGTTGGAGACCACCCAGAGAAAGTTCACTCGGCTGATACCAGGTAAGGAGGGACTGTTTCACGAGGAGACGTTGTGTGGGTTGAGCCTGTACTCATTGCAGTTCAGAAGAATGAGAAGTGACGTTATTGAAACGTACAAGATTCTTAGCAAGTTTAAGAGGTTCGATGCTGAAAGGGGGTTGTTTCTCCTAGTAGGAGAATCTAGGACCAGAGGGCATAATCTGAATCAGGAGTTGACCATTCAGGACAGAAATGAGGAGGAAGTTCTTCTCTCGGTGGGCTATAGAGATTGGGTCATTAACTACTTGTAGGCTGAGATAGACACTTTTAAATTAGTATTATTTTAAATCAAGCATTATTATGAATAAAGCAGAAAAGTGCAGTTTGGGATTATCAAATCTGCCACAATCTCATTGAATGGCAGAGTAGACATTACAAGCAAGTGGCGTATTTCTAGTCTTCAGTCTATGATCTTACGCATTGGTCATCTTTGAGGAATTGTTGGACAGGCTTATAACCACTCAATTTTAGACGTGCAAGGGGAAAACTGAATGAAACATATAAAGACCCTGGGGGAACTTGACAGAGTGGATATTTGAAGGATGCAGCAGAATATTGATCAGGTGGAAAGCTGGGCAGAGAAATGGCAGATAGAGTTTAATCTGGACAAGTGAGAGGTGATGCATTTTGGGAGATCAAATGCAACAGAAAGTGTACAGTAAATGGCAGGACCCTTAGGAGCATCCATGTACAGAAGGATCTTGGGGTGCAGTCCATAGCTTCCTGAAAGTGGCGACAGAAGTGGATAAGGTGATAAAGAAGGTGTACTGCCTGCTACCTTTTATCAGGCAGGGTATTGAGTATAAAAGTTGGCAAGCCATGTTATAACTGTATAAAACTTTAGTTAGGCCACATTTGGAGTAGGGTGTGCAGTTCTGGTTACCACACTATAGGAAGGATGTGGAGGCTTTGTAGAGGGTGAAAATGAGATTTACCAGGATATTACCTAGGTTAGAGTATATTAGTTATAATGGGAGGTTGGACAAACTTAGATTGTTTTCACTAGAGCATTGCAGGGTAAGGGGTAGCCTGATGGAAGTATATAAAATTATGAGGAGAATGGACGTAGTGGATAGTCGGAGTCTTTTTCCCAGGGTGGAAATGTCAAATACTAGGAGGCATAGGTATAAAGCAAGAGGGGGAAAGTTCAAAGGAGATGTGTAAGACATTTTTTTTTTTTAAAAATAGAGGGTGATAGATGCCTGGATCACTACAGGAGGTGGTAGAAGCAGATACAATAGCAATAATTAAGAGACACTTAAACACATGAGCAGACAGAGAATCGAGGGACATGGAACATTAGAATGGCATCATTATTGGCACAGACATGATGGGCTGAAAGGCCTGTTCCTCTGCTGTACTGATCTACGTTCTTAATATTTCCTGTTAGGGAAGAATGCAGAACTAGGAGTCAAAGTATAAAAATAAAGGGTTGCCCATTTACCACAGGGAAAACGCAAAACATTTTCTGTTCTTTCAAAGGGTCATGAGTCTTTGGAACTCTTTTCATGAAAAGATATTGGAAGCAGAGTCCTTAAATATTTCTAAGGCAGAGGTAGATAGATTCTTGGTAAGCAAGGGGGTGAGCCATTATTGAGTTAAGCATGAGTGTAATTTGGAGGATGTAATCAGGTCAGGCCAGGACAAAGGGGCTGAATAGCCTACTCCTCATTAGTATACTCCTAATGGAGGGGCCTACCCTCTGCATGAAAAAGGAACTTGTCCAGACATTGTACCTTTTTAATAATTGAACAAAAGTGATTTAGTTCGATTTTAAAATCCCATTTTGCTGCATCACCTTTCTTAGCCATCAAGGTACAGTACTGATGAGGATTTGAATTTGGATTTCTTGGCTAAGAAGTAAAGACCCTATCCACTGCAACACATGACCTCTTTAGTGATTCAGCACTAAGTTTCTATCTTAGTTCATTTCAATAAGGGGGACATTGTCACGGAACTATGCCTCAACCAAAGCTAACTTCCCAACCAACCCTTTTCTCAGAGTCACAGGTCTCCAGCTCAAAAAAGGCCCTTCTGACTATCAAGTCTGCACCAGTCAAAAACAACCACCTAACTATTCTAATGCCATTTTCCAGCACTTGACCAATGGCCTTTTATGCATCGGCATTGCAAGTGCACATCTAAAAACTTCTTAAATGTTATGAGGCTGCCTGCCTCTCCCACCCCCACAGGGGCGGAGTTCCAGATTCCTCCAACCATGTGGGTGAAAACACTTTTCCCTCACATCTCCTCTAAACCTCCTGCCCCTTACCTTATATCTGTACCCCCTGTTCATTGATCCCTGCACGAAGCGGAAACATTCCTTCTGTACTATCTATGCCTCTCAGAATTTTATGCATCTCAATCAAAACCAAGCCCCACCACCCCAGTATCCTCGGTCCATGGAAAACAAACCTCTAAGGTTCCTCTGATCCTCGGTGCTTCCCAGGGTCCTAAAGTTCATCATGTATTCCATTGCACATGGGCAGGACAAACAAGGCATCACCTCACACTTACTTAGAGGAAGAAATGGCCTAGAGGTATTATCCCTGGACTATTAATCCAGAGACCTTGGTTCAAATCCCACCATGGCAGACGGTGGAATTTTAATTCAATAAAAGTCTGAAATTGGGAGTCTAATGATGACCATGAATTCGTCATCAAAAAAAAAAAAACCCATCTGGTTCACTAATGTCCTTTAGGGAAGGAAACTGCCATCCTTACCAGGTCTGGCCTACATGTGACTCCAGACCCACAGCAATGTGGTTGATTCTTAACTGCTGGACGTGCAATAAATACTGGCCTAGCCAGCGATGCCCTCAACCTGTGAATGATCTCATTGTTTAAAAAAAATTACCTGCATTGAATTCTATTTGCCACTGAGCAGCCCATCTATATCCTCCTGTAATCTACGAGTACCCTCATTAATTTACCATCCCACTGATTTTTTGTATCATTATGAACTCTGATCAACACTCCTACATTCAAGTCTAAACATTTACATATTCCACAAACAGTAAGGGTCCAAAACCTGAGCAATGTGGAACCTAACTGGACACGATTCCAGTCACAAAAATACCCCTCAACCATCACCCTCCATTTTCTGCCTCTCAGCCAGGTCTGGAAGCAATGAGCCAGATTTCCTTCGATACCATGGGTTCTTACTTTTGCTATTAATCTCCTGTGCAGGATCTTATCAAAAGCCTCGCTGAAATTCAATAGACTATATTCAATGAATTGCCCACATCTACACACCTGGTCACCTCTTTGAAAAATTCAATCAAGTTGGTCGGACATGACCTCCCTTTAAACAAAACTATGCCAACTGTTCTTGATTAATCCCTGCCCTTCCAACAGTAGGTTATTTCTGTCCTTCGGAAATTGATTCTAATAGTTTCCTCACCATTAAGTTTAGATCAACTGGCCTGCAGTTTCCTGGTTTATCTCTTGCTCCCTTCATGAATGACAGTATCACATTGGCTGTCCTCCAGTCCATAGCACCTCTCCCGTAGCCAGAAAGGAATTGAAAATTAGTGTCAGCACCTCCCTTGCCTCAGTCAACAGCCTGGTATACATTTCATTGGCCCTGGAGATTTATCTAGTTTGAAGCCTGCCAGATCACTTAGAATCTCGTCTGTTGATGCTGATCTCTATAATTATATCACAGTCCTTCTTCCTGATTTCTGTCCCAATAATTGCCTCTCCCACTAACAAACACTGACACAAAGATGACATTTAGAATCCTACCTAGACACTCTGGCTCCATTCACAAATTCTCACTGTGTTCCTTAATGGACCCTACTCTTTTTACCCTAACGTACTCATAAAATAACAGGATTTCCTTTATTTTATCTGCCATGATCCTTTCTTGCCCCCTTTTTGATCTTTTAATTGCCTTTGGCACATTCTGTATTCATCTAGGGCTTCTGCCCTTGATATCAGCCAAAAGCTTCCATTTTTCCTGCTTGTTTAATCCTGTCTCTCTCTCAATAGCCAGAGTTCACTGGATATGTTAGTCCCACTTCATATCTTTACTGGAACATGTTAGTCCTGTACTCTCCATATTTCCTTCTTGAATATATCCCAGGTGGGTGGGGTTGGAGGTCAATTAGCTCGGTTGGCTGCATGACTGGTTTGTGATGTAGAGTAAAGCCAACAGCATGGGTTCAATTCCTGCAATGTTACTACAAAGGACTCTCCTTCTCAAACTCTCCCATTGCCTGAGAGAGCACCCATATGGTCTAGTAAGACTATGGTAACTTTATCTTACCTAAACGGTATCTACTCCCAGTCCACACTAGCCAAATCATGTCTGATCATCTTAAAATCCACCTTCCCCCCCCAACTTTAGAACTTTGAATTCAGGTCTATTCCAGTCCTTTTCCATGAAGTAAAGCTCATTTTGAGACCTGACATTCTTGCAATTCTGTCTTGATGAATGTAAGATATAAAGCTTTGCTAGCACATCTCTCCCAGGAATTCTCACGAATTGCCGAGTTCACACCATTTGGTTTAATTTCTAAAGCGGTCTCACTTTCCCAAAACACATACAATCAACACATTCTCAGAGATAAACTGTGGCTTCACTTGACTGTCAAATGGAACATGGCAAAGACTACAAGCAGCTGGGCAGGTAACTCTTAAAGAGCAACAAGTGTATATTCAGATTGAATTTACAAAACAATGCAGATAGGAAACCCAGGAAAAAAATTCAAATAACAGTTTTCTAACATTGCATCCACAATAGTACTGGGGCCATTTTTTTTCTACTTCCTTCAGGAAGGATTTTGCCATACATTGGTTTAGTTTCATGGCCGAGATGACCTCCTGCACTGCAGGAGATTGGCCATTCTTCAACCATCAGCCAAGATAGCATCAGCTGGCTGTTCAACGGCAGAAACCATCTCAGCCAAACCCTCTTCTGTCCTTAAAGAACACTAGTCCACTTCCCAGCATTGGGGTGACTAGAAGAACCATTCCTGGTCAATTATATTCTCCCTCAACACCACTGCACCCATCTTAGTAACTCTTCACATTACCTGATAAACCACTCTGTGCTGACAGAGTTCAGCCAAGCTTGGGCTGTTCAGATCTGCAAATTATAGCAGTGCTCACATGCAGGAGACACTGGCTCAGTAACTCTTCTTGCATTGTGGACAGCCCTCAAATGAGGCTTCATGACTGAACCAGAACAGAGGTCAACTTTCTCATAGTTGTTACCAAATTCCTTCAAAAAGTCTTGATTTCTCCTCATCTCCGCAACACCGAGACCTCTGCGCTGCTCCAATTCTGACATGTTGTGCACCCCACTTTGACTCACTAATATTGTTAGTCATGCCTTCACCCACGTTCTGTGAAGCCCTTGCTGAACTGTTCTCCCTCTCAGATATTTTGTAAAACTTTGCCCTTTCTTGAAGCTGTAGGTCATGTGTTCTAATGTTCCTGCACGGTTCAGTGTTAAACTAAGTTCAATGATGCCCCTGTGAGGCACTCAGGAATGTTTTCTCTGCATGATAGGAGTCATGTAAATGCAAACTACTCTTACTGAATCTCGAAACAGACCTCGAAACTAACCACATTCATTTGATTTGTCATTGGCTGGATAAGCTGTAGATTCATTCATTTTTAATAATTCTTGACAATGTATATTAGTGAAAACTCAGGAGCGCAAATATAATAAAAGTCCATCATTGAACATATTATGTCAGAATAAAGGAGCCAAGTTAACAGTTCTAGAATCCTGTAAATGTCAGTATGTTTAAATTAATTAGTAATTAATTTTTGAGTCTAAATTCTTCTCTCACAGCAAGTGATCAATGTCTGATGGACTCGGGGGCAGTGCATGCTATCCATATTCCACATAGGAGCTCCAGTCCATTATACCTGGAGCACAGCTCTGCCTGTTTGCAGGTCATTTACAATCCAGCTGGGAGGAAAGTTTCAGTGGAGTGGAGCCATTTCGAGCAACCGCATCCCGGATGATTCCTGCCTGCCTGCCCCCAGCGTCCTGCGAGCACACTGTGTGGTCCAGAGGTAGGGGGTGGGCGAAGTCTTGGGTCACCTGAGCTTGGGGAAGATACGGATGAAGAGGATCATGCTGATGAAGGTGAAACACACCACCACCAGCATCAGCCATAGCAGCCAGTTGACTGATTTCTTGGTGTGTTGCTCCAGTCGCTCTGACTCCACCTTCAGCTTCTCAAAGTTCTGATCTGCCATCCGCAGGGACTGGGTCAGTGTCTGTGCACAACCAACACAGGGTGAATGTCATGGGTTAAAACAATACTCCCAACCTCCACTCCTCTTTAACCCCTTTCGTCTACCTCAGACTTTTGCTTTCTCATATTGTGATGTTAGAATCATAGAAGCCCGACAGTGCGGAAAGAGGCCACTTGGCCCATCGGGTCTGCACTGACCCTCCGAAGAGCATCCCACCTAATCCCACTTCTCACTCTACCCCAGAACCCCACATTTACCATGGCTAAACCCACCCGGCCTGGGCATGCCTGGACACTATTGGGCAATTTACCACAGCTAATCCACCCAACCTGCACATCTTTGGACTGTGGGAGGAAACTGAAGCACCTAGCAGGAACCCCACAGACATGGGGAGAATGTGCAAATTCCACCCAGTTGCCCGGGCTAGAATCGAACCCCGGTCCCTGGCGCTGTGAGGCAACAGTGCTAACCACGGAGCTGCCTTCGATGTTGGTGTACCACCCCATGAATAGGGCACCCACACACTTTCCATAAGTAACTGATGACCATAAATATAGACAAGAGGTTTCTGATCAGCATGAATTTTACGCTGACATCTCCCCCCCCGCCCCGGACCTTAATCTCCTCTACCCAACACCCAGTGAGGATTTAATGGATATCAATACCTCACACGAGTGATGACTGCATCAGCAACCTGTCTGAAAGCAATAATATTGCAATGGAAATGAACAGAGTTCACCTTCCATGGAGTGGCTGCAGGCAGAGTCATATCGTATTTACAGCACAGGGTCAGGCCATTCAGTCCAAGTGGCTCATGCTGGCGTTTATGCTCCACACAAGCCCCCTCTCCCATTCATCAACACATTCTTCTACTCCTTGTTCCCACTTGCACTTAGGTTACATTCCCATTGAACACCCTGGCTGGAATCAGATTACTGAGGTGCTGCTGTCTCACCATCAGCTGTGGCCTCACCAATCCAGCCGCTCCTACCTGGTTGTCCTGTTTGATAACACTCTGTGCTGCCAGAGTGTTGTTCTTCAGGTTACGGGCCAGGCTGAGCATCTCCTCGGCGAGTCGCTCCTGCATGTTGTGGTGACGGTGGAGCACAGCGTCCAGTTCAGTGGCTGTTTGTTTCTCATCCTCCAGTCCACTACAGAACGGAGGAGTGCAAGAGAGGAATTACAGAAAGTGGAATAAAATGCAAGTGAATGAAAAAGCAATTACAATTAAAACTGCAGTCAGTCTACTCCAGTGTATTAAACTAATACAAAAAAAGACAAAGACAATCCTGAATTCCTATAATGCCATCCCCAATCTCAGACTATCCCATGCACTTCATAGAAAATGAAACACTTTTGACGTATGGTCGCTGTTGGATGCTGTGTTTCCTACATTGCAAGTTGCACAGCAAGGTCCCACAAACAGCAATGTAATCTTGGCCAGAATCTTGATTTTTTTCTAAAGAGAACGAAGTTGATTGATAGATAAACATTGGCAAAATCATCTTGAAGAATTCTCTGACTCTTCATATTTTGTTTTACATCCACTCAAGAGAAAGCAGAGATGAGCCTCAGGACTTAACATTCCATCCACAGATGACATCACTGACAGTGCAGCACTCACTCATTCACTATGGTACTGGTATGCAAGATCAGGTTTTGTGCTCACGACTCCAGAATGGGACAAGAAGCTACAATGTCTAATTCAGAGGAGAGTACGCAACCCACTAAATTGCAACTGACACTTTCAAACAGTGTCTGCTTTGTATAGAGGTTGCTAACAGGTTAATGTCTCCATTACAGCTGCAGACAAGAAATTTAAATTAAGTGTCCCTACAGTAATACGGCAGACTGTTTTATTAATGTAAATTGCCCATGCTTCTCCAGCAATTAGCTGCAAATTATTGCTCCATAAACTTTAATCTTTCTGCATTAATATCTTTATGGGACACACTACTGGCACACAGCACCAGACAGACATCTGCTTTGTTGGATCTTCCACCACTTTGTCTCCGTTGCAAACCAGATGAGTATCAGCTCTGAGCAAAGCTTCCTCAGATAAAGATGGTTGTCAGGGGGTGTACAATAACATTTCAATTTGTATTTATATTAATCTGGGGAACATTGCAAGGCTCTTTACGCAGGTGTGTAATTCAACATTAGCAGAAAGCAGCAAAAGGTAACCAGATTGTGACTGGGGAGACAATGAACGTAGCAGTAAAGTCATCGGACTATCAATCCAGAGAACCAGCCTAACGCCTTGGGAACAAGGGTATAAAATCGCACCCACAGCAGCTGTTGCAATTTAAATTCAATTGATAAATCTGGAATTGAAAGATAGACCAGGATAGTTATCACTGATTGCAGTTTAAAAAAAATGCCCTTCAGGAAAGACAAAGTCATTCATCCCCAGTTTAATGTCAGACTCACAGCGATGAGGTCGACTTTAACTGCCCTCAAACTGGATGGCTAGCCATTTCTAAGGGCAAATGGGGACACGCAATAAATGCCAGCAACAACCACATCCAATGAGCAAAAAAGAAATGTTTGGTCACAAAGTGGGGCTTTAAAGGGTGCCTTAAAAGTGAGGAGAGGGAGGAGGGAAGGTTTACTGCCAGTCAGAGTTTAAAAATTAGGTGAGAGTTTTAAAACAGAGGTACTGCTGAATTGAAGTCAAAAAGTCAAATTAAGGCCAGCGAATGCAGGGGTGATGGCTGCTCAGGATGTGGTGCAAGTTTGGATACAAGCTGCTGAAGAGTTCTAGAGCATGGAAAGTGGGAGAACAACCAGGAGAAGATGGGAATAGTCCAGAAGCAAGGAGAAGGTGTGAATGAGGATTTCAGCAGCAGATGAGCCAAGGGAGACAGAGACGTGGTATTCCAGGAGGTGGAAGGGATGTGGAGTCAGACGCTCTGCTCTGGTATGGTACCTAAAGTGAAGTGGTTGGATTAAGCTAAAAGACAATAAGACACTGGAGCAGAAGCAGGCCACTCAGCCCATTGAATCAGCTCCACCATTCAATGAGATCATGGAAGATCTGATAATCCTCGACTCTACTTTCCTGCCCATTCCCCATAATCCTCGATTCCCCTTACTGATTAAAAATTCTGTCCATGTCAGACTTGAGTATACAGGAACAACCTAGCCTCAACAGCCCTCTGTGACAAAGAATTCCATACATTCACTATCCTTTGACAGAAGAAATTCCTCCTCATTTCTGTCTTAAATTGATTATCTCCAACACACACATGACAGGAGACAGGTTTTCTACTTAAAATTCCCAGTCAGGTATTGTATGTGGAGAGAAACAAGAAAACATTTTGTTGCACAGACATTTGTAAATATAAAACCAAATCCTTACCTTCGTCTTCTCAGTTCAGTAACTTCAGAACCTAAAGAAAATACAAAGACTTTTTTCCCTTAATCAGCTTAGCTTCCTGAACGATGAACAACGTATATCATTAGTATCTATATCCAGTCTTTAGAAAGGGAAAATTAATTAAGGATACATTCATGGTCACTGCTTCCATCTCAATACCAAAACAAGCCCAGTAGTATTTTGAAATGTTTGATTGTGAAGCCAGTTGTTTTGGTGTGAAAGAAAAGTGCAACAGTCATTTTGCACATTGTCTTTATCGAGAGCTTTCCCAAGCAGATACATGAATGGTCAAGACAGTTTGCACAGAACAAGGTAAACAGCAAATAAACAAAGAGAACACCAGAAACACTGAGCAGGTCTGGCAGCGTCTCTGGAGCGAAAAACAGTGCTAACATTTCAAGTCAATGTCCTTTCATTGGGACTGGGAAAAATAGAGATGTTACAGGTTTTAAGCAAGTATAGAGGCAAGGAGAGGGTGGAGGGGAAGCAAATGAACAAAAAGGGAAGATCTGAGGTAGGATAGAAGGCAGGAATCAAAACAGACAATGGCGCATGGGGAAACTGGAGGAGAGTGGGATTGATGGGACAAGGACAAGAGATAAGCCTTGAGTGGGGAGGAATTGTAAGCAACAAGAGTAAAACCATGACCAGGAGCTGCTGCCCAAATAAGCAGGAGCAGTGGTTATGATGTGTGTTGCAGGCAATGTTTGGTCGATAATATCTGCCCGAGCTACAGGGGAAAAAGGAATTCAAAGCCTTGCATTAACACTTCATCCCCTGAAGACACTGCAATGCAGCACTCCCTCAGTACTGCTTGTGATCCACCTTGCAGCAGAGACTGAACTGATCCAGTTGGGCTTTGAGGACAGACTGAAAGCAAACAAGTATTTTTCCTCTGTCTATTTAAAACCGTGGCAGCTTTCCTTCCTTGGGACTCGAGCTGCATACCACAAAAAACGGAGCTGGACTCCCCTCTGTGCGGCACTGTGACAGTGCAGCATTGCTGAAGATGCAACCTTTCAAGTCAGATGCAGACTGGAGCCCAGGGTAACAATAACTCTCTTGGGGCGAAGGGGACCTGGGGGTGCGAGGGTGTTGCTGGCTCAGAGCAGGAATTGCCCTGGTAGCTGATCTTACATTCAACAGGCCATCAGTGAGTGAACTTATTTTGCAATGGTCCAATTTGAATTCATGTTCTTTCGGGTTCCTTGCGCAAGCCTCCATTACGAAGCCAGAGTTCACCATTACACTTATATCCATAGAGCAACCAGGATGAAGAAATCAACATTGTTTTTCCAGAGCTTAAGAAATAATCCTCCAAAGCATTTGAGCTCATAGCGAGATATTTAAATAAAACAAAGGTTAAGTTAATTAACTAACAAAAATAGGTAAGGTTTGGGACTGGGTACTTACTCACCTTCAGGAGATAGGGGTGGCTGCAAAACAAGAGAAAAAAAGGAAAATAAAATTAACACAGTTTTGTCAACTTGTGTGTGCAAGAAACAGAAACAGGAAACATCGCCACCTTCAGAGGTTTATGTCACCCAAATTTCATAGGTTAAAACATTTAGTGTTGCAAAGACAGAGTTTGGTTATTTGGTTAGTTTGTCCATGACTGCACTGGCTCAGAGTCTCCCTCGAAGCTGACTGTAGGTGAGAGGAATAACACTATCCGGGAGATGGGGTTTGAAGTACTGAGTACTCATCAGGTGGCATTTACAAGTTTAAGTGAGGCGTTGGAAAAAGTGTTTATACATGGTATTATAATCGACTAACGTGCAGGTAGAAGATGAAAACGGAGCACAGAACTCTAATTTGAAAACTGCCCTCACACCATTCTCAAACAACTGACCACATTAAATTCTTTTGTCCTATGCACATGCACATTCACAGACAGGGATGTCCTTTGTTGGGAGCCATGGGTCACCAGCACTACAGAGTGTTCCAGCATGGGTAGAGATCCTTCAGCCCGTTACATCTGTGCTGATCATGAAGTAACTACATACCCACTTGCAGGCACTTGATCCACAGCCTTGTTTGTTACACTGTTTTAAATATATCTTAAAAGGTTGTGATGGTGCCCACCTCGACTAATCTTTTAAGGCAGGGAGTTCCAGATACTCCACACACACTTGGAGAAAATCTTTGTCCTCAAAATCCTCTCTAAACTTCCTGTCACCTATCTTCAATCTATGTCCTGTGGGAAGTGACCCCTCTACCAAGAGGAAAATTTTATTCCTGTCTATGATGGTCAATCTTGTAAATCACAATCAGGTCCCTCCTCAGTTTTCTCTGCTCCAACGAAAACAACTCTAGTCCACTTAGTCTCTCTACATCAAACCACTTCATGTTGACCTTCTGCTGTGTTACACTAATGCCTTAAAGCTGGAGTACTCACCAGGCCAAGGAGTTCACTTCTCATTTCCCCCGTGTATCTGGCTTTCAGCTGAAGGTGGACTGTTTGAGTGGCAGATATCCTCTCCTTTCCAGTTGTTGATGTCTTCCCTGGTGCTAAAAACTGATTGGCCAGAGCTTTCTCCGTGGGGTTAGGCTGGAAACCAAAAAGGGGTGAGACGTTGATTAATGGAATCCAACAGCCATTAAGCAGGAGTAAGGAATTATGAATTGTACAGGACGTTGTTGGTGGAGGACTAACCAATGGTCAGCACATCAGTCAGAATGCCTCTCCTTTCTATAAAAAAGCAGCTCCAGGGTATTCTTTCAATTCCACTCAAGAGGGCAGATGGAGACTCAGTCAATGCTCCTGAGTTTTTTTTTGATTGAACAGTCTTGCCATACAGCAGTTCCCACTTCAAGGATCAAGGAAGAGGCCCCAGTCCCAGGATTAACTAGGTTGAAGGGCCAGCCTAATCAAGAAAGGCTGACCCTTTCATTGGAGTTTAAAAGAATGAGAGCTGATCTTATTTGAAACATACAAGACCCTGAAGGGAACTTGACAAGGTGGTTCCTTAGAGGACATTTCCCCCTGTGGAGGGATCTAGAACATGGGGGCTACTAGAATGTAACTGAAGTAGATGTGAAGTTCTGCATCCATGCCTCCCTCCAACCTCTCAGAAAACACTGCCAGCTCTTCTTTGTATGAACACCAATACCATCACACAGAAACATGGAGAATATGGGGTTTCCGCATTTAAGATGGAGAGGAGGAAGAAGAATCTCTTTTAAAGGGGTCTTTAGAATTTGAAATTCTCTCCCTGGAGAGGGGACAGGAGAGTGAAAACAGACAAAACAAGAAAATGGTGTTAAGGCCACAATCAGATCCGTTATAACCTTATTGGCTGGTACAGCACGTTTAATGGGCAGAGTGGCTCCCTCCCATTCAATTCTTACCATTCAGTGTGAAATCTAGTGCGTCTGTTGCAGTGGCATTGAACAGCTCAGTCCAGTCACACCAAGTGTAGACTATTCTATACAGCATTCTCTCAGCAAAGATAGCCTAGCCTTTGAATTTACCAAGTGATAGGAAACATGTACTTTCTCCCAAAATTGCTCCCAATTATAAATTACAATCAGATTGCTCCTACCAGTTTCTCAGCCTCCAAAAGACCTTTCATAAATTCCACTTTGCGGGTATATTCATTTAAGACCTCAGGGGCAGGTTTGCTATAGTCAAAAGAAACAGGATACATTAGATTTACTATCCTACAACATACTTTCAGACAGTACAATAAAATACTCCATTAAAAATGTCAGACTTTCCAAGGCAGCTGTTTTTTTAAAATGTCTAAAGTAAAGTAAAATGCTCTGAATAGTGGGATGGCGATTATATTAACACAAAAACAGAAGCTGCTGGAAAAGCTCAGCAGGTTTGGCAGCAACTGTGAAGAAAAAAAAATCAAATCAGAGTTAACATTTTGGGTCCGGTGACCCTTCCTTACAACATCATATTAACTCTGCCTGGAGATAGGCTCATGTGATCTGGTTATCATGGAGAATGAGGCCCAAACCAAAAACTATTGAGAAATAAAGTGACACTGATTTTTGGACAGGATGACAGGCTGCTGTGAAGAGCAGGGAGAACTGTAGATGTGCTAAGAACAAAGCAGATGCTTGTAAAAGTTGGCTCTCTGTACGGAAGGAAGGGAACAGGCCAGATGGGACATGAAGATTCTGGAGAAGGAGTGACAGAGGTGGGCCTTGGTGCTGGAAGGCTGTTCTGGAATAGTTAGTCCAAAATAAATTGATTATTGAGCCAGAGTAAAACATTTGATCTCATGTGGCAATGAGAAGTGAGCCTGCTAGGAGCTGGGATTGATTCAAGATTTAGTTTTGTATTTTTATCCATTTACCAGAAGCATGGGATAAAGTAAAACCATGTCACATGGGATTCATAGAATCCCCACAGTGTGGAAACAGGCCCTTCAGCCCAACAAGTCTATGCTGGCCCTCAGAGCACCCCGCCCAGACCCATTACCCTTTTCCCTGTAACCCATCTACACATCTCCGAACACTATGGACAATTTAACATGGCCAATCCACTTAGCCTACACATTTTTGGACTGTGGGAGGAAACCCACGCAGACACGGGCAGAATCTGCAAACTCCACACAGACAGGCACCCGAAGGTGGAAGTGAACCACAGTTCCTGGCGCTGTGAGGCAGCAGTGCTAACCACTGTGCCACCGTGCTGATAATTCAACTGAGTTAAGTATTTAGCACAGAAGTACCTGTCAAGCTGGTGTATTAGTTGCCTGTTAAGTACTATGAGATCCATACTAATTTCAGTTTGTTTGTTACCCTAAAAGCTCTAAAAGCAAAATTCTTGTCAAAGAACAGTACAGCACAGCAACATGCCCTTCAGCCCACCAAACCTGCACTGACACATGACATCGTTCTTTTGGTTATTTCTACAGTTTGTGGCAAATCCAAATCCTTTTTTTTTAAAATTAGGAGCTCCAAAGCGCTCCACAGAAGCATTAAACAAAATGTAACGCAGGGTCTTATAAAAGGTATTATCGCAAATGATCAAACAGGCAAGTTTTCAGGAGTGTCTGAAAAGGAGGACAGGGATGTATTAGGTTTACAGAGGCACCTCTAGAGCTCAGGTCACATGAAGGCATAACTGCCAATGGAAGAATGATTAACATCAGAAAAATGCAAGAAATCCAAATTGTAGAAGTGCAGAAACCCAAGAGGCTGATAGTGGTTAGAGGGGCAAGGATGGGCAAGGTCACAAAGGGATTTGAAGGCAAGAGTGAGAATTTTAAACGAGGTTTGGACAGACCATAAGTCAATGCAGGTCAGCGCACAACCACAACTAAACATAAGCTGATGAAGTTTGAGTTTACAGGATTCCGGAAGGTTTAAAAAAAAAAAAAAAAAAAAGAAAAAAAAAAAAAAAAGAGTCCAGCTAAAAATACGTTGTCATCTTGAGACCTGACTTTGCCAAAGGTGAGTCTGGAGGAGGCTGCGTGGTCAAACAAAAATCACTCCAAAAATCAATACAAAGTTCTGCTGACACAAGTATCACGTTGACACGCTGACTGTACTCTTCCACCCCTGTCCAAACTAAGGACACAAGGGAGAGTTATCAAATAAAAAACAGCTCGTACAATAGATAGCACATCCCATGACTTCAGAATGTACAAAGTGCTTTACAGAATTTCATTACATCTCTCAACACCAGCTCAAAGCACTTCACATAAAATGAATGACTTGAGTGAAACAAACAAATGCAGATGTCATTTTTAAGTAAGCAAAATCCCACAAGCAGCAACACAATTAATCTGTTTATTGGCAGGTCGATTTTAACAAAAAACAGACAAATCGTGCTGTTCCCGATTAGTTTTACCATCAACATGTTCAGGTAGATGGGGCCACAGCTCACAGGACAGACAGTACCACTGACAGTGCAGCACTCCCTCAGCACAGTCCCTTCCGCTTATACTTTCTATCCTTAGCACAGACAGCTGCCTATATCGGTTATACAACTGTAACCTCTGACTGTCACTGTAGAAGTCAGCCATAAAGGTGGGGCTTACAGCTGATGAAGCATACCAACCAGTTCATGCAGTTCAATAAGTGATTATTTGTTTAAATAGTGATTTCAGCTAACGTTAGGCATTTCCAATCAATCAGTTGTTCATACTCCAATGACCTTTGGTAATGCAATTTCGGATGTTGCTAGCAGCAAGTAGTGCACCCATTTGTTAACTGGAGATTTCCACTTTATGGTTTAATTTTTCACAGGGTTAAAAAATTGTGGTGCTGTGGTAGCGTTCCTACCTCTGGGTTCAAGTTCCAATAACTTATCCAAATAAGTTTAATAACATTGAGAGGTCTGGACTCGGTCTGAACATCACCACAAAAAGAGTGGATAGATAACGGTAATGTCACTGTGCTGGCTACAGACAGTGTGGACTGTACTAGCTGCATTAATGGTGTCAACTGAGGTTAGATCTCTGGATCGAGCTGCCTATTCCACAACCTTCTGACCCAAAGCTGACAGTCTTCCCATTTCTAGTTTTAATTTCAATTCTCTTTCACCCCCAAAAACCTGCATGGTTGGGCACATTTATGGTTTACAGCATTCACACCTCAATATGAAAACAATTGCAAAAAATCTCTAGGCCTACAAAAGATGACACTGCAAACAACTGGTAAAGAATCTTACCTGATGTGCTTCTTCAATTCAACCAACATTTCCTGAAGAGCTCCTACATACTGGAGAAACCACACACGGCAGCCATTAGCAGCATGTAACCTCACTGCACAACTTTGTTTGAACCCAGTTTCATTCAATGTTTTGCTTCTAGATTTAATCTCAAAACAGAGTTTGGCAGGAAAAGAATATTAATGGAGACAGTAAGTGTACAAGTTGGAGTCACAGTAAAACACTACATTAGAAGTCCTGGGCCTGGCTAAATAAAGACCCGGATTGATGGATCACAGATCACAGGCAGCTAGGCCCAAAAGGACACCAGCGCCAACTGTCTATCCAGCACCGTAATCACATCACCAGGACATCCCCAATGCATTTCACAATCAGCAAATTATTTCTCAAGTCCATATTGCTGCTGTCAAGGAGGAACATGGGAATAATAGGATTAAAATAAGATCCCACAAAACAACAAGATCATCTACATGGAGAGACAGTTGTTGGCTAGGACACAGAGACAACTCCCCTGCTCTTCTCTAAAATTGTGCCATCGGATTTTTAACACCCACCTGTTCAGGCACACAAGGTTCTGGGGTTTTACATCTCTTCCAAAACTCACCTGCAGCAGTGGCACTGGCCCGAAATGATGTTCTGAAGGCCTAGAATGGAGCTTCAGCCTCGTGATTCAAAAGCAAGATCGCCATTAGTGAAGTGGCACTGACTTTTAGAATGTGTTTACCTTGGTCGATATGCTCAAGAGGGAAGTACAGGTCATTCCCAATACCTCGGGGAGGGGAGGGGCAGGGGGGAGCAGCATTCCTCCCCCATATGGGCATGAATGTCACGCCACCGCATCAAAACACTTTCTCAATTCCTGTGAGATACAGTGTGTGTGCACGTGCGTATGTGTGAAATCATTTTCTATTAATAACAGAAGTTGCTTTCTTCCCTTCTTCAATTCATCTCAGTTTCTACTTAACATCTGAATATCAAGATAAGATACAGAGGTGAAACAGAATCTCAGTTGTTACTAGCTCACCTACCTGATGTTATGACTCCTAAGCAAAAGCAAGTCAAGGTTCCTGGCTCATAATATTAAAAGAAATTGATGATTAGTCTCTCAGTTAGGGATTGGTTAGGATCATCCAACCCATGAAACTCAACACAACAAGAGCCATCACTCATTATTTGCAGGGACTGGACCCTTGACAGATCCCCCATGTTCTCTGAACACTTCGCAAAACTACCCAAGGCTGCCTGTGGTCCTTTATCTACAGTCAAACGTTATGTAAAACAAGTATTTGTGAATTGCACGTGCAAAATTCTTGATATGTCTGAATTCAAAGGAACATAATATTTGAATTGGTGCAGCCCAGCAACCTGGAAATCCATATTTTCCTGAGATAGAGAGAGACACACTCACCTAGAAAGAGAGTGCCACACAGACAGAGCACTTGGATTTTAAAACAATCCTTATCCCATTTCAGTCCACAATCAAAAATTCAGAAAAATTAAAAAGATACAGTCTTTATTGGATCAAGAGCTAATAGATAGGCTGGATCTCTGTCCTGGTCCATACCAACATAGAATGAGGCATTTTCAGCACTTATGCTGTAAACATTTCTAAGTTTGAAATTTTTTGTGAAGTAGGGGCGTTTAGTTACTAAGATCTTCAATGAATTTTTACCAAAGATAACTTTGGAACTCCAAGCAAAATCCTTCTCTACCCTGCAAATCATACCTAACACAAAGGCAGAAGGCTCCAGGTCACCTCTGTAGGATGTCCTCAGGGTAACATTTTCAGTAGCTTCAATGACCTTCCTTCTATTTTAAAAGGCCATAAGTTGGCATGTTTGCTGATGACTGCACATTGTTCAGTTTTTATTTCCACTCCTCAGATATAGAAGGATTCTGTAGCTGCAGTAAGACCAGGGCAACATTCAGGCTTCGGCTGATTAGTGGCAAGTCATATTTATGCTACACAGGTGGAATGTAGTGATCACCACAACAGGTAAGAATCTGGCCATCTTCCCTGGACATTCAACAGCATTATCACTGAATACCCCATTGTCAGCATACCAGGAATCATCATTGAGTAAAGACTGGACAAGACGTAAATACCTTCAGAAATAGCAAGAACTGCAGATGCTGGAGTCAGAGATAACACATTATACAGCTGGAGAAGCACAGCAGGCCAGGCAGCAGAGGAGCAGGGAAGCTGACGTTTTGGGTCAGGACCTTGTCGAGCTCTTGTGGCACAATGACTGTGTCCTCTAGCTCTGGCCCAGAATGTCTGGCTTCAAGTCCCACCTGCCACTGGGGTGTACCACAACGTGTGATTAGACCAATTTAAAAAAAAAAAAATCTATAAATACTTTGAATACAAGAAGTTCAAGTTTGCAATTGTGTAGCAAATGATTCATCTACGTCCCCAAAGCCTTTCCACCATTTGCAAGTCACAAGCATGATAGAATTCCTTGGATGAACACAAAAGGTTTGGCATGATCCTTGATCAACACATCCGAGAACAGCATATAACGACTACGATGTATACTAATAAAATCCACTGCAGCAACTCACCAAGGATCCAACAGCCACTTACAAACCTACAATCTCTATCAAGGTTAGAACAAGGGAAGCAGATGCACCACCCAAAAGTCTCCTTCCAAGCCACATATATCCCTGACTTGGAAAGATCATTATCGTTGCTGAAAATTCTGTCCTGATCATCATTAGAGGTGTCCCTACATCCGAAGAACGTCATCCAAGAAGGAAGCTCACCACGCTCTTAACAAGGACTATTTAACATGAGCTATCTTTGACCACACCCATCTCTAGGAACAAGTCGTAGGAAAACCGAAGAGTAATCTGTCTGGCTGTGTACTCGTCAAGAATTAGAGGCAGGAACTTGGCCTCCATTGAGCCACCTAGTGGCCCAGAGCCTACAATTACACCGTGACAGTTGACATAGAAAAATTGAGTGACGTGTACATGAATATCGAGATGAAAAGTCAAGGGTTTAGAGACAGAGTAGGGGCACTTATTACAGCATTTATACCGATACACAGATATTACTGAAGGGTGTTACTGATCAAAAGCTAAATAATGTGTTCTGGGACAGCTCTATAACACCACGTCCTATGATATGGCGCAATTGTTGGCCTCAGTCTCTCGCCGCTATCTCCACCCCCCGGTTACCTTTTCCAGCCGCCAGTCCTTTTCTTCCCTCTTTTCCCCCGCCATCGACTCGCATCTCACCAACAGCCGCAAGAAGTTCTTCTCCAACCTGGAGGTCGCCATCATTTAGACAACAACTTCCTTTGCATCACTTCCTCTACGCTACTTCTGCCGCATAGTTGCCATAATTAATGCAGGCAAGTGATGAACAACGAGAGGCGGGGAGGCGGCAAGATGGTCCTCATCCTGAAAAATGATCTGCCTAAGTCGCAGCGCCGCCTGGGGGCCTCAGCGCGCCTGGCATTTTAAAACCACCAACAAACAGTTACTTTTGAATGCATTTGAAAATCAAATCTTCATCACTTTCATCATCTTCACAAAAATGTTTACTACAATCATTTTGTTAAAAACACTGCTGATAATTCTCGCCTCCATATCATTTCTGCAATAAACTGTTCATCTGCATTGCCAACTCTTCAAAATTACCCTGGAGTCTCCATGATTAGATTATTATTCTGTGGGACATTGTATTTTCTTGGACTCACCTCTTGTTTCTAATCTGCATGCACATTGGTTCTGCAGCTATTTCTTCTCATATTCAGTAATTAATAAACTCATTCTTTTGGTTAGTTCAACAGAGAGATTTGAATTTAACCTTGCTGCAGCAACAGAAGCAGTTAGTGAATAATCATAAGATCAGGAGAAATAGGAACAGGAGTCGGCCATTCGGCCCCTCAAGCTTTCTCTACCATTCAATAGATCTTGGCTGATCTGGCATTCCTGACATCCATTTTACCGCCTATTCCCAGGAAACCTTGATTTAATAAGCGATCAAGAATTTATCTATTTCAGCCTTAAATATACACAAGGACTTTGCCCCCAAGGACTCTGTGGCAAGGAGTTCTAAAGACTCTCAACCCTCTGACAGAAGAAATTCCTCTTCATCTCAGTCTTAACTTGGTGGCCTAATATTCTAAGACGATGCCCTCTGGTCCTAGACTCTCTCATGAGGGGAAACATCCTCTCAGCATTTACTCTGTCAATCCCCTTCAGAATCCTTTGTGTTTCAGTGAGACCACGTCTCATTCTTCTGAAATCCAGTGAATAGAGAACTCACCTGTTTAGCTTTTGTGTATAAGAGAATTGCTCCAGAGCAGGGATCATCCTAGTGTATCTTCTCTGAACTGCCTCTAATGAAATAATATCTTTTCTTAAATAAGGGGACCAAAACTTGCTCACAGTACTCCATATGTGGTCTCACCAGCACCTTGTACATTTGCAGTAAGACTTCCCCACTCTTATACTCTAACCACCTTGAAATAAAGGCCAACATTCCATTAGCTTTCCTGGGAACATCTACCCTCACCCAGGTGCATAATGGTTTGCGGTATCCAGTCTGGAACCAAATGAATTGGGAACCCTGGACAGGGGATTGATCATCAAAGCATAAAACAGATTGATTTAGTCTTTGTGCTTGTCTTGTGCTTTTGAAATCAACAGAAAATGAAAGTTTCTCAGAAGACCTTCAATGAAGACTGGCCCTAATATTTCATCCTCACACACAATGTTCTGCCAAAATTCTAATTCTGTCATATTGGTTTACAATCCATCAGACATCATAAAAGCAGTTCACCTGAAAATTACTTTTTTTAAAAAAGTGAAATCAGTACTAGTTAACCTGACTTGGTCATTGGGAATATTTCAGAGTTCATTCTTAAGGATGAGATTAGAAAGAGATTGCAGAGTGCTTGGAAGTGCATGGTAAAATAAGGCTGAGTCAGCACAGTTTCATCAACGGGAGATCGTGCCTGACAAATCTGTTAGAATTCTTTGAGGATTAACAAGCAAGTTAGACAAAGGAGAGCCAGTGGATGTGATCTATTTGGATTTCCAGAAGGGCTTTGACAAGGTGTCATACAGGAGGCTGCTAAATAAGATAAAAACCCATGGTGTTAGATAGAAGATTAGTTGATTGGCAGAAGACAAAGAGTGGGGATAAAGTGGTCTTTTTCAGGATGGCGGCTGGTGACTAGCAGAGTTCTGCAGGGGTCAGTGTTGGGACCACAGCTACTCATGTTATACATTAACACTCTGGATGAAGGAACTGAGCACATTGTTACTAAGTTTGAAGATGACACAAATATAGGTAGAGGGGCAAGTAGTGTTGAGGAGACAGGCAGGCTGCAGAAGGACTTGGACAGGCTAGGAGAATGGCAAAGGAGTAGCAGATGGAATACAATGTGGGAATATGTGCAGTTGTACACTTTGGTAGAAAGAATAGAGGCATAGACTGTTTTCTAAATGGGGAAAAGCTTCAGAAGTCTGAAGCACAAAGGGACTTCTGAGGCCTATTTCAGGATTCTCTTGAAGGTTAACATGCAGGTTCAGTTAGCAGTTAGAAAAACAAATGCCATGTTAGCATTCACTTCAAGAGGGCTAGAGTAGAAGAGCAGGATGTATTGCTGAGGCTGTATAATCCGTATTTGGAATATTGTGAGCATTTTTGGGCCTCGTATCTCAAAAAAGATGTGCCGGCATTGGAGGGGGTTCAGAGGAAGTTAACAAGAATGATCCTGGGATGAAGGGCTTGTCATATGAGGAGCAGTTGAGGACTCTGGGTCTGTACTGAAGAGATTTAGAAGGATGAGGATTATCTCTTTGAAACTTACAGAATACTGAGATGCATGGACAGAGTGGACGTAGAGAAGGTGTTTCCACTAATAGGAGAGACTAGCACCTGGGGCACAGCCTCAGTGAATGGATGGCCATTTAGAACAGAGATGAGGAGGAATTTCTTAAGCCAGAGGGTGGTGAATCTGTGGAACTCATTGTTGCAGAGGGCTGTGGAAGCCAAGTCACTGAGTGCATTTAAGACAGAGATGGATGGATTCTTGATTGGTAAGGGGATCAAGGGTTATGAAGAGAAGGCAGGAGAATGGGGTTGAGAAACATATCAGCCATGATTAAATGGCAGAGCTGACTTGATGGGCTGAATGGCCTAATTCTGCTCCTATGTCTTATGGTCTTATGACATGTCGGAAAAGGTCTTTGTACATGGTGATCCCACAAATAGTAAGTGAGATGTACAATTATTGGTGGCAGCCTCATGGACAAATATTTCCTGCCAATTGCCAAGCCAAGTCTGACTACTGTCCAGTCCTAGGTTAAGTTGCCTTAGGTTGCTTCATGATTTTAAGTGTTATGAGTGGCGCTGAACACACTAAGCAGGCTGGCTCCTCACCTTCTGGTGGATGGAAGGTCATAGATAAAATGGGTTAAGGTCAATGGACTGAGAATACTTCTTTGAGGACCATGTTTTCCTAGCAGAAATCGGTGTGCCCTACGTAAACAGTATGGACTGAATGGGCCAAATGGCCTCCTTCAGTGCTGCAATGACTCTATGGCCCATTTGGGGACTCTGGCTGCAACAACAAACTCTGCAGACTCTGCCATCTTTTTCTGTGTCAAGTCCCACTGTTTCTATTGTTCACTTGACTCCGTTTTATTGCAATCTCCAATGAAGATTAAGAATATTTCAAAACATGTGGAAATGCCCATTAGTGAAGCACTGAGAGACTTGGAAACACAGGGCCATCCTCCAAAATGTCCTTCCAGGGTTAATGAGGCTGAAAGGTCATTTAAACATCTTCCTTTATTTCAAGATGGAACAGAACTGGCTCTAGTGCATGTTCTGAACCAGCTTCCCATAATTACCTTTATCTTGCCATAGACAACTAGCAATTACAGGTTGAGGTAAATTATAGGGTTTAGTATTTGATCTTCATTATCCACAAAACTGCTGTCACCTTTAAACATCTATGTGTCAGGGATCCGCATATTAATTGCAAATTTGTAAAGAGGAAAAAGATAAAGAAACAGACTTTAATGTTTCTCTCCTTTTATTTTGTTTTGTACAAAGTATTTATGTCCCATTATCATATGGTTGCAGTGTTCTACTTTAGATCAGGAAGACATGCAGAAACAGGCAAGACCGTTGGCACACAAGTGATAAGAGTGAAATCATTGAGATTGACTTTTTACGTCTAGTCATCAGGATGTGGTGGTTGGATGTGGTGTGAGGGGGATCTGGGGATCTTCTAGATACACAATCACTAGCTGAACTGGTGCCTCAGAGCGAGTGTGGTCAGGTACAGAGGATTATCTGAGGCCTGTCCAGCGATTATGTACCTCCTGGTTACTGTCTGATTTTTGGACGCCATTTCACAGTCCAGACAGAGAGCAAACAAAGCTCCAAAGCCATCCTGAAGAAGCGTCACTGGACTCAAAACATTGACTCTGTTCTTCTCTCCACAGATGCTGCCGGACCTGCTGACTTTCTCCAGCCATTTCTGTTTTTGCTTTCAACTCTTGATCGCTGCTCAGACCCTCTCCAGTTTGTGAAGAGTGGTTGTTGAAGGGATGTACCAGAGATTGTCTGGTATCTAAAGGAGGGGAGATGATGCCATTGTGGTAATGTCACTAGACTAGTAATCTGGAGCTCTAAGTTAATGGCTTGGGAGCTCAGGTTCATAATCCCAGTGGGGTATCGAGTGAAGCTTTAACTCAATTAACAAATCTGGTATCAAAGCTACTCGCTGATAATGCAAACATGATTTACTTATATACATTTTTTAAAAATTGGCTGTATTCCTATGCTTCCCACTGGCCTCACGTCTGACTAACTAGTACAGAGCTCACCGTCTTTGTCCCTCGCTCAATAACAAATATCTGAAAGAATTGATTCATTTTGTGACAGTCAAACTCAAGCTGAACAATGTAGTCCTCATTCACCACAAGACTCCAGTTTGGTGTCTATCTCTCCTTTTCAACACATTTCTCCTATTGAAGAAATGCTTGGTTAGGATATCGTCCTAGGAGATTGTAAGCTACAGGCCTTGAGAGAGTTGCTAGCATTGCAGTATGGATTTTCAATTAATAGTCCAGAGGCCCATGCTAAAGCTCTAGCGATGCAGGTTCAAGTCCTACCATAGCAGCTGGTGAAATTAATATTTGGTAATAAAACCTGAAATTCAAAGCTAGTCTCATCTCAAATGTAAAAGCCTATCTGGTTACCTAATGTCCCTTAGGGAAGGAAATCTGCTGTCCTTACCTGGTTTGGGTTACATGTGACTCCAGGCCCACAGCCATGCATTGGACTCCAAATTGGCCAAACAAGAAATCTAAGGACGGGAAACAATGGCTTTGGCCTTGCCCAACATCCCATGAAAGAGTTTTTTTTTTAAAAACTTCCCCTTTCTCTCCACCAGTGAGTTGTGGAAGCCCAGTTAATAAGTGTACACAAGACAGAGATTGTTAGACTTTTGGAGACCGGGATAATTAAAGATATAGAGACCGAATTGGAAAAGTAGAGTCAAGATCATGCCTGAGATTTTAACTTCTCAAAAAATACAACTGGCTGTACCTGACAAATGCTTATCTTCTGCTTCCATTTCTTTCTCCTCTTCCAAAGGACTTGCTATTTTCTTCTTACTTTGTGATTCTATATTACTACTCAACCTCTAGTCCTTCACTCATTATACATGGCTGCTATAAACCTGAATGATAGTTTCTGGTAAGTTCTACAATGATGGCAATATCACTGTTGATCTAGATCCTCTCCACTGGTGAGGATCCAACAGACACTCTCACCAACTGGGTCAATGGTTAGCAGTCAAGGGTAAGAATTTTAGACGTCCTCTTTAGCCAGTGATAGGGACAGTAATGGCAAAATGCTCATTTTCTTTATACAAGGGGCAATGGCGATCCAGAACATGACCCTTGAGGTCAACTGAATATGTCAGACCAAGACTGATGGATTTTCATTAGGTCAAGGATGTGGAATGGAGATGGGTGCGTAGGAGCCAAGATACAGACCAGCCATGAACTCAGTGAATGATGGAACAGGCTCGAAGGGCTGAAAGGTTTCCTCTGACTCGTATGCACCGAAGAGCACCCCAGATCAGTTTAGATTGTGCTTTGAGATGAAGCATCTTGGTTAGCCTCACTGACGGGAGGTGGGGATGGGCCTGGAGGAGGCTGCAGAAAACAATGAATCACCCATTCAAATGAGGCAATGCCCACCTCGGAACAGGGTATAGCAGCACCAGGAGGCAGCTTTCCACCCATAATGTAGCATCACTGGCTCACCCTGGTCAACTCTCATCATTGACAGCATCGGTCACATTACGATTGACAATTAACCCTCGACAGGTTTGCCCCTTCTCTTTAGCCCAGGGGCACCGTGGCCTCTTTGAACCACAGGTCCTGCGTTTTGGGGAGCCTCAGCTATATATGGGGACACATCCAGACCAGGATGAGGAAAGAGGGTAGTTTTATTTAAGGATGGTGTATTGTGATGGGATTGGCCTTTGCAAGCAATCAAAGGAGCTGGTGGGATGTATGGGAAAGAATTGTGTGAGATGTGCAGAGGGTCCCTTTAATGACCTGGGTACCCATTACCTAACCTCACTGTGGAAAAAGAAAATTTTGTTTTATTTATTTAGTGCAAATCCCCAAAGCCAAGCAATAGCATTCTCATTTGTTGAGGGTTGGGCAATTGGCCCAAGACAGTTCGTAGACAGAGTTCTCCCAGAAATGTGCAGTGGAGTTTGTGTCTCTCTGCAAGTGCATTCGGGATTTGTACTGAGACCCCATTGATGGAGGTCACCTGCATGGGGCACTAGTTTGTCCTGAACCTGTCTAGCAAGGATCACGATAATCTCAGCGCAAACCACAAGATGAACGGTTATAATTTGCTGTGGGACCCATTTTGTTCAGGTGTTCAGACGGATGGTCACGTAAGGATTGGAAGACCACTTCGAGGCTTTTATAGTGAACTGCGTGTCCTTGGCAGGGGGCAATTTGGGAACAGGAGAGCGTCAAGTTGTGGGGGAACCTCCCAACACCAACCAATGCCAATGCTGGTGGAGAAGCGAGTGGGAAATCCAAGCACAAAGCCCCAGGAACTCACTTCAGCCTTTCACAGTGACACGTACATTTGAGTGAGGCTAGTATGACATTGCATGCAGTCTTTGCAAAGGCTTAGAGAAATGATTCACAGTAAAAACATAATTAAGACATGAGTGAGCAAGAGCAAGACAGGAAGGGAGAATGAGAGCAAGAAAGAGGGCAAGGGTGAGACAGAGAGAGCGAGACAGAGAGAGTGAGAGAAATAGGGCAAGAACAACAGAGAGATAAAGTGAAAATCCAGCAACTTCCAAAGAGTCCCCCGAGGGGACAAAAAAAGAATCAGGCGCGAAACAACAACCGCACCGTCAATAGAATATCTTCCGTTGTGGTTTCATTCCCAATCATGGAAGTCTGGACAAGTCAGGACTGGAGTTGGCTCTTAATTCAGAGCAAATCTGGATTGGAAGGTACTTGTAAACAGGGTGATGGAGCTGGTGTCAGGTTGTATTATAGATGCTTGTGCACAATGATCCCGTTCCTTTGTCGCATTCTGCAAATGGAAATAAGTCACATCAATGTCAGAAATTAGACACATCAATGGGAGAAGAGAGACATTGACAGAGAGGGAAGGCATCTTGAACTTGGTAGATATTTGACGGTTAAGATTTATTGAAAATTATGGAGCCCACACAGGAAATTTTTTAAGAATGTATTTCACTGGATGTAGATGGCACTGGATGGATGAGCATTAATTGCCCTGGAGAAGGTTGTGGTATATCAGCCTGCTCCAGTTCAAGTGCCCCAGGTTTGGGCAACTGAGAGCGAGGTCATCTGGATTGTGGAACATGTATCTGAAGGGAGAGGACCAGCTTGTTGGTTCTAATGCATCTACATGAAAACTGTAGGGCAGCTCTTGTTGGCTACAGACCACTTCCCTCTCTTTATTCATGGGGTGAAGTGCCTTCTCCTGCTGGAGTCGGGCAGCTTGGGATCTCAGGATACATGGAACCTCTGACTGGCTTTAACAGTAATAGGTCATCACTGCACTGATACATTAGGAACTAGAGCAGTCTCTAAACTCTGTTCCGTCATTCAGTCAGATCCTGGCTGATCTGTATAAAAACTTGCATTTTTCATCTCAAAAGAGCATGGTACAGTGAATTGTATAATTTGGAAGTGTATTACAGCTGTAATATAGGAACACTTCTAAACACCGTCATTGAATCTCCTCATCACCTTTTCTGCTCTAAGCACAACTGCAGCTTCTTGAATCTTCCAACAGGAGTGAATTCCCTTGTCACAGGCACCACGCTGGTAAATGCCCTGCACACCCACACCAAGACCTGGGTTTCCTTTACAAAGATGCAACGCCCAGAATTGAACACAATAAAATATTGGTTAGGTCTCATCTGGAATAGTGACGTTTAGCTTAATCTTGTTTCTCTTATACACTGCGCAGGATCTTGTGGCACAGCCGGAAACTCCAGGTTCAAGCCCCACACCAGGACTCAAAGACCAAGGGAAAGGCCATGTCCTAGTGGTATTATCGCTGGACTACAAATCCAGAGATCCAGATAATGTTTTGGGGACCCAGGTTCGAATCCCACCACAACAGATGGTGGAAATTGAATTCAATAACAAAAGAAAGTCTGGAATTAGGCATCTAATGATGACCACAAGGTGTAGAGCTGGATGAACACAGCAGGCCAAGCAGCATCATAGGAGCAGGAAGGTTGATGTTTCGGGCCTAGACCCTTCATCAGAAATGGGGGAGGGGAAGGGCGCTCTGAAATAAATAGGGAGAGAGGGGGAGGCCCATAGAAGATGGATAGAGGAGAGGATAGGTGGAGAGGAAACAGACAAGTCAAAGAGGCGGGGATGGAGCCAGTAAAGGTGAGTGTAGGTGGGGAGGTAGGGAGGGGATAGGTCAGTCCAGGGAGGACAGGTCAAGGGGGCGGGATGAGGTTAGTAGACAGGAAGTGGGGGTGCGGCTTGAGGTGGGAGGAGGGGATAGTTGGGAGGAAGAACAGGTTAGGGAGGCGGGAACGAGCTGGGCTGGTTTTGGGATGCGGTGGGGGAGGGGAGATTTTGAAGCTTGTGAAATCCACATTGCTACCATTGGGCTGCAGGGTTCCCAAGCAGAATATGAGTTGCTGTTCCTGCACCCTTCCGGTGGCATCGTTGTGGCACTGCAGGAGACCCAGGATGGACATGTCGTCTGAGGAATGGGAGGGGGAGTTGAAATGGTTCGCGAGTGGGAAGTGTAGTTGTTTATTGCGAACCGAGCGTAGGTGTTCTGCAAAGCGATCCCCAAGCCTCCGCTTGGTTTCCCTGATGTAGAGGAGGCCACAACAGGTACAGCGGATGCAGTATACCACATTAGCAGATGTGCAGGTGAACATCTGCTTGATGTGGAAAGTCTTCTTGGGGCCTGGGATGGGGGTGAGGGAGGAGGTGTAGGGGCAGGTGTAGCACTTCCTGCGGTTGCAGGGCCTCCTGCAGTGCCACAACGATACCACCCGAAGGTTGCAGGAACAGCAACTCATATTCTGCTTGGGAACCCTGCAGCCCAATGGTATCAATGTGGATTTCACAAGCTTCAAAATCTCCCCTCCCCCTACCGCATCCCAAAACCAGCCCAGCTCGTCCCCGCCTCCCTAACCTGTTCTTCCTCCCACCTATCCCCTCCTCCCACCTCAAGCCACACCCCCATTTCCTACCTACTAACCTCATCCCGCCCCCTTGACCTGTCCGTCCTCCCTGGACTGACCTATCTCCTCCCTACCTCCCCACCTACACTCACCTTTACTGGCTCCATCCCCGCCTCTTTGACCTGTCTGTTTCCTCTCCACCTATCCTCTCCTCTATCCATCTTCTATCCGCCTCCCACTCTCTCCCTATTTATTTCAGAGCCCCCTTCCCCTCCCCCATTTCTGATGAAGGGTCTCGACCCGAAACGTCAGCCTTCCTGCTCCTATGATGCTGCTTAGCCTGCTGTGTTCATCCAGCTCTACACCTTGTTATCTCAGATTCTCCAGCATCTGCAGTTCCTACTATCTCTAATGATGACCACTGAGTGTTTGTTGATTATGGAAAACCCCATCTGGTTCACTAATGCCCTTTAGGGAAGGAAATTGCCATCCTTACTTGGTCTGACCTACATGTGACTCCAAACCCACAGCAACATGGTTGACTCTTAACTGCCCTAATGGCAATTAGGGATAGGCAATATATGCTGCCTGGCCAGTGACACCCTCATCCCATGAATGAATAAAGAGAAAAAAGGAGGTGCATTCATGACGCGAGCAGATAGGCTGTTATAGTGTTACAATCCTTCCAACAAACGCCAACAGCAGGCTCTAGGAATGGGGCAGCTTTCTGATCCAGCTTCTCCAGAGCCAACTCATTTGGACACACTTCGGTTATCCAGGGCATTGGTTGAGACTGCATCTGGAGTACTATGTACAGTACTGATCTCTGTACTTACAGAAGGATGTTAATGTGTTGGAAGCAGTTCAGAGAAGGTTTACTGGATTAATACCTGGAATGAGTGGGTTGCCGTATGAGGAAAGGCTAGACAGGTTGGGCCTGTATCCTCTGGTGTTTAGACAGTCAGAGGTGACTTAATTGAAACAGACAAGATCCTGAGGGGACTTGACTGGGGAATATTGAAAGAATGTCTCCACTTGTGGGAGGATCTCAAACTAGGGGTCAGAGAATAAACATAAGGGGGTGCCTAATTTAGACAGAAATGATGAAACAATTTTTTTCTTTCCAAGAGTTGTAAGTCTTCAGAAGTCCCTTTCTCAAAAGGCAGTGGATGCCTTTTAAAAATATTTCGAAGGTAGAGGTAGGTAGATTTTTGATGACCAAGGGTGTGAAAGATTATCGGGGGTATGCAGGAATGTACAGTTGAGATTAAAATCAGACCGGACATGATCTTATTGAATGACAGAACAGACTCAAGGGGCCGAGTGGCCTATTCTTGTTCCTATGAAGTGAGTACTGTTGATGTCATCATTATGCGTCTGCTGTAGGTACCAAGGGATCTTTCTGAGCGCTCCTCTGGGCCAGTCTCTTTCCAATTCATGTTAAGGACACAGGGTCGCTACATGAAATAAAGGTCAAGGATGAGGCCAATGCACACATTCTGCGATATCGGCTGTTTCACCAAGAACAGCAAATGCATGGGCTGTGAGAGAGCCCCCTGCAGCTGCAGTGGCAACAAATGCAGCCTTCCTGGTCAGCCTGTGATAGAAAGGAATTGGGAGTCTCTGCCATCACAATCCACTGCTCCAGGCTACAACATGCATGGGCCAGCGCTGCTGCACCAGCCTGCACTCCCTGGAGGTGCCATTTGGCTACAAGGCTGGTGTGGGAAAGACTGGAGTCAAGACCCAGGGGCTTGTGCTGTTCTCCTTGCCCTACCATCAGAGGAGGTATTGGTGTGACTTGAGAGATCTCAAACCAAAGAGGTCTACGATTGCACTTTCGCAGTTTTCCTTTCTATATTCCTGCTGCACCCATTCACCCCATGGATTTCATACCCGTCCTTCGAGGAATGAAGATGATCATATTTCTTGTACACAGCTGGACTTGAACTATCCTCAATGTCATACTCTCGCACATCATTGACCTCCGAGACTTGGCCAGTCAGGACCTTCACCACCAGCAGGATGATATACTGCAACAGAAGGAGTTACACATCAGAGCCAGCGAGGGACCCTCAGGTGGACTTCAGCTCGTGGCAACTTGGCTTCATTTTCCCCACCCACCTATTTGGAACTAAAGCTGGACCATCAAATGGTTCAACAAAACAAGAAAGGGGGACTCTCTGAAGTTATACAACACAGAACCTCATAGACATTTACAGCACAGGAGGAAGCCATTCAGCCCACTGTATTCGTACCAGCCAAGACCTGACCTCACTAATCCAGCTTTCCTGCCTCAGGCCAATATCCCTGGAAGCTTAGATCCCACAGTGCTTTATTTTTTCCTCTTCTGCTGAGCGCTATGATGTGACTGGGATCTGTAGCTGGTCTTGTGGAGGATCTGCAGGTCCACACACTACCCTGGCAACAATTTTGAAAGTGACCCTTCAGGAAGCCATCAGTTAGAACCGTGGCCTTCAACTAAATGGACCATAAATGTAAGGCAGAGGGGCAATCTCCATCTTGAATAATCTCCGCCCTCTCCCCAGGTTCTGAAGAGGAGGTGGATAGTGTGGAAGTATTCAGGGAGCAGAAGGAAGAAGGAACAGAAGGCTGTGTTAATAGGCTGATCTGAAGTAGAGAGGGGGCTCGTGTGAAATGCGAGCCTCAGCACAGACCATTCGGGCTGAATGGCATGGTTCAGTGCTACACACTCCTCTATGGAAGCTGGCATTTGTTGGGCACCAATTGTTCTTGCTCCCATTCCCATATGAGTGAGATTCCAGAGGGTGACGTCTTCCCTGGCAAAGTTAGACTCCCTGAATAAAAATGGGGGAGGGAATGTTCAGGAGAAGGGCAAATATTGAACACTTTGGAGTTTTAATGTGAGCTCAGTGTGTAATGAAGAGGAGAGGCCGGTTGTCTGTCTCTCACTTGGTGGAATAGTTTGGTCACACCGTCACTGCCACAACATAATCGGTGCTGGATTGGAAATCCAGTTCTGGCTCACTGCATTTCTGCTGTGGAGAGAAAAACTAAGCAATGGACACTATCACTGGCCGGGCGATCTCAATACAGCACAGCACACCCTCATGAACTTTAACCTTCGTACATACTTGATGAAACTAAAAACAGAGCGTGCAAGGGTCTTTTGGTCATTGTTTTAGCTCCATGGTTACCAAATGGCAGAAAATGTGCACCTGGAGCAGGTTTACCTGTAACATGAGAGACCCTTTGAGGCATGTTCTACTAAATTAAGTGTGCGGGGTTAAAACAATGTTGCTATTCTGAGGAAGGGTCAGCGGACCCAAAACGTTAACTCTGTTTTCTCCTTCACAGATGCTGCCAGACCTGCTCAGCTTTTCCAGCAACTTTGTTTTCGTTCCTGATTTACAGCATCCGCAGTTCTTTCGGTTTTTATTGTAGCACTTGTTGCCTAAGAGAGATTGTGGACTAACATGTGAAATGTGACGCAATTAATATATTGAACCAAACTCACACGCAGAAACCGAAGTTAGTTAAGGGCCTCCAGAACTATTGCAAAATGTGAAAGCTCCCAGCTTCGACATTCATACTCCTACTGTTTCAGCAGATTCCAAAGGGTGACATTGAGACAGCTACAGTCAGCAGCTGATTGGAGTAATACACACGCAGAGGACAGAACAAATGTGATGCTCATTGTGACTGAATAGTCAGCCAACCTTCATTGTTAAAGCTCAAACCCATCTAATGGCTACTCTCAATCAAGGGACTGCTGACTGTGGATTTACTCATGAAATAGTTACAGAAAGAAAATGGCTATATATTTTAAACCTGGAGTGCTCAATGGTTTATTTGATACAGAGATAGTAGGAACTGCCGATGCTGGAGAATCTGAGATAACAAGGTGTACAGCTGGATGAATACAGTAGGCCTTTTGAAGAAGGGTCTCGACCCGAAAATAAAATGCTATCCCCTATTCCCAATTCCTTCTCCTCCGCCGCATCTGCTCCCAAGATGAGGCATTCCACTCCCGTACATCTCAGTTGTCCTCGTTTTTCAAGGACCGTAACTTCCCCCCTCGGTGGTCGAGAACGCCCTCAACTGTGTCTTCCACATCTTCCGCACCTCATCCCTCACACCCCGTCCACGCAATAAGAACCAAAAAAGAATCCCCCTCGTCCTCACGTACCACCCCACCAACCTCCGGATCCAACGCATCGTCCTCCGACACTTCCGCCATCTGCAATCCGAACCCACCACCAAAGACATCTTTCCCTCCCCACCCTTATCTGCTTTCCGGAGGGACCACTCTCTCCGTGACTCCCTTGTCCGCTCCACACTCCCCTCCAGCTCCACCACACCCGGCACTTTTCCCTGCAACCGCAGGAAGTGCTACACCTGCCCCCATACCTCCTCCCTCACCCCCAAGCCAGGTCCCAAGAAGACTTTCCACATCAAGCAGATGTTCACCTGCACATCTGCCAATGTGGTATACTGCATCCGCTGTACCCGGTGTGGCTTCCTCTACATCGGGGAAACCAAGCGGAGGCTCGGGGACCGCTTTGCAGAACACCTACACTCGGTTCGCAATAAACAACTGCACCTCCCAGTCGCGAACCATTTCAACTCCCCCTCCCATTCCTCAGACGACATGTCCATCCTGGGCCTCCTGCAGTGCCACAACGATGCCACCCGAAGGTTGCAGGAACAGCAACTCATATTCTGCTTGGGAATCCTGCAGCCCAATGGTATCAATGTGGATTTCACAAGTTTCAAAATCTCCCCTCCCCCTACCGCATCCCAAAACCAGTCCAGCTCGTCCCTGCCTCCCTAACCTGTTCTTCCTCCCACCTATCCCCTCCTCCCACCTCAAGCCGCACC